CAGGCTAGATGCCTTAATACCAACACCCCAGGGGTAGGGTGAAGTACCTGAGCCCAGATTCAGTATGCCAGAGCATATTAAAATGAGAACTAACAGCTGTAAAGTGTTCTTTCTTTCTTTCCTAATGGTGGATTGGACATGGGGCTCTTGATATTGTAACCTCCATGACCTTCAATCCTGTATTTCTCCAGCTGAGCAAAAAGGCGACAGTTTCAGCTGATGTGGGAAGCATGGTGAATTTCCACCCATGAGAAAGTGTTGTGCATGTGACTCTGTTTTCTCCCGTGAATCTGTAGACAAAGAAATGCAGGAATCTAAGCGGTGATGGATTAATCCAAGGTTCCCTAGCTTGAGTCATTTTCTCTAGAGGTAGCCATTTTCTTTGCTTTCCTCATACTGGGCATGCCATGTGTGCTGACTCCTTAGTTGGCAGTACTCACCCTTGTGAGGACTATGCCACCTGCCACTCCTCCCTGCCTTTGCCAGCTTCCCAGAAAGATGCAGTTCAGCTTTGTGTCATTGACAGCTTCACACACTTGCTGTGTCTCCATTCTGCACCATCACCACCACCACCACCACCAAATTGGAACTTACGGCGTTCATATTGCCCACTCCACTGAAGTTCATGAGGATGGGACCAAGACTTTCTGTTCCTAGTGACAGATGTGTTCATGTACTAGGAAGGATGAAGGAAAGGATGAAGGCAAGAAGGAAGGCAAGAAAAGATAGAAGAAATAAATGATGCACAGGCTCCAACATCACACATCCTTGAGTTACATGGACCTGTTGTCGTCTGGGTCATCCTGAGCCACTTGACTGTGTTTCTTCTGCCGACTGTGGGGGCAGGGGACCTCATGGGCAGGAATAACAATGAAATAACAATAATAATGGTACTTTCCACAAGGAACTGCTGCAAGGATCTAGTAAGAAAACATTTGTAAAGCTCTTGACAGTGCCCGGCCCTTGGGAAACCATCAATAAATACTGGCTCCTGGCCTCTTTCTCCTAAATGGTCACTTTGGGCAAAGATAAATAGAAAAGAACACCATTGAAAAGAACTATTTCCACTGCTGCTTGTTTTAGGGGAAAAAAATCTTTTCTTTACATACAAATCAATGGGCAGTATTATGGTGAGGAGATGTCAGTGACTTAGGGCCTATGGAGCAGGAAGAAGAGTGATGCACATGTTCTATTTTCATCCTTCCCCAAGAAATATCACCACATGCAATGTCCATTTCACAAGGCTGAGGTAAAGCAGATGGAACTTCAGAAAACTTGAGTGTCTTTCCGCTCACATCCTGAGAGGACTCAAGTCACGCTTCCTCGGGAGGGAAGGACATAGGCGTTTTAGTCAGGTGTGCATTAAGCTGCAGATATATCATGCAGTTTGATTTCAGAGTGGCATTGTTTTGTGATATCATATCTCTACTGTTATTGTTGAGCTCACCTTGAGTGTCCCCTGTAACTTCCATTCACTAGTTTCTCTGACTGCCAATTGTGTATGCCGGCAGTACCTGATATTAGAAGATTGTTACAAGGGTCCCACTGATGATGCTCACAGAAGTCTCTTATGAGAGCTGGAAATTATGCTAGTGTTAATTGTGGTAATACTTACTACCATCCTGGTCTCTGCTTCAGGCACTACCTGAGTCGTCCCTCTTGGGAATTGTATTTGCAAACCACAGGTCAGAAGTAATGCAATGCATCTCAGTCTCTGGTTCTTACCTTTAAACACACATCCCATAGATGCTTTCCCACTCAGGTCCTTGAAAATATCTTCTTGGCTTTCCAAAAGGATTATAATTATATAACATCAGCCCACAGCAGCATCTTGAGGGACATGTAATATGTCAAAGATCCTTGAACACATAGAGCTCCAAATATGTATTTTCCAGAGTTTCTGGAACCTAACATACAGTAAAACTAAACCAGTAGCCTTAAGTCAGGGCCAAACCAATTCAGCAGAAGGTACAAACAACCATAAGCCCTACGAGACCTTCCTTCAAGGAACATTCAGCATACTATATCAATTAGCTATTGCCATATAACAAACTATTATGAACATAGAGGCTCAAAGCAACACACAGTTATTATCTCACGGTTCCAATGGGTCAGGACTCTGAGTCAGCTTGGCAGGGTCCTCTGCAACTTTTCCTGGATTCTGGGAATGTTTTTGTTTGTTTGTTTGTTTGTTTGTTTGTTTTTCTCTAAAGTTCGCATGCTTCTCCCAAGATCACCTGGTTGTTGGTAGGATTTAGTTTTTTTATAGTTACAGGACTGAAGTCCCCATTCTCTTCCTATTATCCATGGATTGAATTTAGCATTTAGAGAGTCCTCTGCCACGCGGTCTCATCACGGTCCCTAAAGGCCTGAATCTGTCACTCTGGTTCATATAAATTAGGCAGTCTTGGTAGTGACCATTCCATCATCGTCATCATCACCACCACTCACTACCACCACCATCATTGTCGTCGTCGTCGTCGTCGTCGTCGTCGTCGTCGTCGTCATCATTTCGCCAGCCCAGCAGGGAAAGGGAAATTAAAGCTATAGCTCAGTGTCATCATTCTAGGGTGAGTTGTCCAGGAAAGTATTCAAGAAGGAATATAGATGAAGAGATTTTTAAAGCACCAGTTTGCCTAACCACAACTGGTCTAATCTGAAGAGACAGGAGTGAAAAAAAATATTGCATGCAGAAATCTCTTAAAGCCATACTAACTGAATGGAAAGGCCGCCATCTTTTGTTCTGATATAATTGTCTTTCTTTCTTTTTTTTTTTTAGTGTTAAAATGCCTTTGTTCTTTTAAAAGAAGTGACAGTAATAGTAGGTAACGTGTTTGAAAATATTGGTAGTGACAACCTAAGAGAGAGTGATTTGAATCAGAGTTGTCATTGTTTCATTGAGGTATCACTCTTCCCAGCCACCTGGCATGCCCTACGTGCCAGACCAGAGGCTTTGCCTTCACTTGGGCTTTGTAGCAATCCTATGACCAGGGATCAACTCTGCTGGATCTGTGAGATGTCTAAAGGACTGAGAATGGGTTAGTAACTTCCCAGGCCACATGGACAACAGACTGGGGTATAAAAACCCACATTGGCATACCAGATTTTAAATGGATATCATCCATCCCCTGGCAGTAGCTTTACATTGTCATCCACACCCATGAAGACGGTGACGGGGTGTAGGAGAAATCAAGGGCACTCTTTCCTGAACTAAATATATCTTGTTATTTGCCCTCTACCTATGCCTCACACTCACCTGAACCCTCAGTGACTTCAGCTCTCTCTGCACACCTGGGCGGGGTCTCCACTCAGCTTTTCTGAATATACTGACCATCAACTAGAGGAGTTCCCCCTTGTACCTTTCACACAGAGCTGTTTAATGACCTTGTCCTTGTCTTAAAAGGGTATATTCTGAAATGCAGCGCCCACCACGGTACCAGCCAGAACGTATATAAAAGAAAGAGCAGATAGGAAACCCCGTGCCAGGCCTGCTGGGGAGGGCAGGGACATGGGAGGAGGCAATTTTTTACTTTGAGTGATCACTGTGTTTCCATTAGAAGTCGGATGACCTTCTCAGAAAGGTTACAGAATCATTATTAGAGATCGTCAGAGCTGACTAGACACTGGATTAATGGGGATTTGGTAGATTTCTATAAAGAGTGCTTTAACGAAAGATTCATAGGCCAACACAAAGACAGTTTTTCAAATCTCAAAGAACGTGTGCTCAGAAAGTTTCTGGTTTCAGGAAGCTAGTAACAGGCATAGTTGGAAGTACACGAGGTTCCTAGGGAGCTATCAAGGCAAAGGCTGGCACCTTTGGGTGGCATGTGTATCTATCATTCATTCCATTCCAGGCAGTCTTAAATCACAGAAGCAGTTGGTTTGTTCTAGCAAGTCTCTGTGGGGAACAAATGTTGCTTTTATTAAAAGTGTGCTTCTACTTGCCCATTCCCCTCCCCCCCCCCCATTGCCTTTCCTCCTCCATCTGACTTGGAAAGCATTGCTCTCATCAGGGTTTTCACATAAAGTTAAGGTTACACATTCGGACAGGGTGGGGAGCTCTGGGATCTCAGCTCTGCATCAAACCCCACCTACAGCATCCAAGACTTCTGCTCCCTCTGAGGAAGGAAGGCGGCATTGCCCATCTCTGATGCTAGTGATACTCAGGTCCCTTAGCTTACTCTCCTCGATGGGAGTAGGCATCTCTTGGAGCTCAAATCTAATGACTTCTCCAGTAGTCTGCACTGTGCTTTGTTTTGCTCTGGGGATCTAAAATAGAAGCTATGCCCCCCCCCTTCTTAAGTTATTTATGCCGTGAAAGTATTAAGTCTGCTGTGGGTGACCCATCCTGTATGACTTGTTTACACTGGCAAAACTAAACAAACAAACAAAAAACAAGTGGGAAAAGATTACGGCTTGGTAACTGGAATGCCAGAGGCAGGATCCATCCTCTTGGAAGCTGTTGATGATCCCCTCTACCCATGGCTTTGCATTGCTCTGGTTAGAATATTCCCCACCAAACCTCAGCAATGTCAGTGTGAGAGTACAAAGCGAAGAACCTCTACAAGGATTGAGATATGAAGGCCCCTCCTTCGGGAATAATATCAGTCCCTTTAAAAAGAGGCTTCATGCAGCCTTTGTCTAGTGTGTCCTGTGTTCTGCCATGTCTGGCCCTCATTCCAGGCCAGCTGCTGCTGCCTTGATCTTGAGCTTCCAGATTCCTAAAGAATGATGAGAAATAAATTTCTGACTTTGATAAGTTATCCTGGCATCGGTGATTGTGGTAGAAGCGGAAAGGGGCTGTGGGATGTGTTTTCTATGAGCAGACACTTCTGCTTTGCAGTTACTTTTTTGTATTCCATTTCCTTAGTACACTGACACCAGGGAGGGAAGAGGACGAGGGAGGCTTGTCTTGAAGGCTCCAGTATCTAGCACAGGACACGCCATGGACACACTCAGGGACTGATGGGGGCGGGGCGGGGGGGGGGGGGGCGGGAGTGAGAGGTCAGGAGGTAAAGAGAACAGACAGGGAGAGGGAAGTAGAAATGGTGAAATATGGGTAGACCCCTGATTTAGCCGAGCTACCTGATTTTGTAGATAAAACACCAGGCTTTGAACGACGTCACTTGCCTGTAATGTGAGTAGACCTAAGCTTCCTTGTGCAGACCAAGCTCGTTCTGCTTCCTTCTTGATTCTTCACCCAAGAAGAGAAATCTGGAGGTAGAAAGAGGAAGGCGTGATTAGGATGGAAGGCTCACGTAGGGTTCTTAGTAGAGCCTATGTTGGCATGGCTGTAGGGCCTGGTGAGCTAGAGGGAAAGTCTTTTCTTGCTCCTTCTTTTGGGCATGCCAAGGTTTGGACAGTACACTGTTTATTCCAATGCCTAGTGCCTAAAAAGATTGTGAAATACTTTATTAATAATTTTATTTTGAGTTTATATTAAAATGGTAATATGTTAGAGCTGTTGTGTTAAGAAAATAAAGCATTAAAACTCATACTCTGTTCCTTTTTAACCTTTTAAATTTGACTCATATAAGATCGGCTTTGGGTAGAGCCACTGGGTCACACTTCTGGGGCCTTTGCCAGGATCTAGACTTCTCTCATGCCCACTGCCCGTTCTACCCATTGATCCTCTAGGCCATGAAAGCCCCCTTCTCAGCCCCTTCCAGCCATGTTTCACAGTGCCTTAAAGGTCGGTGCAGGACATCAGAAGCCTTCTGAGATAGGGATTAAGTCCATCCTTGGGTGGAAACTCTTCTACTGTCTATCCTCTTTACCTTTTTGGGTGGTGGATTCCCTTTAAACCTACAATGAGAATAGGTATAATAATATCTTACCTATCTCAGAAAATGTTTTCAAAATGAAATGAATGAATCAGAATATGTAAATGTGCTTTGTAAATAAGCTAAGTGTACATGCACACAGATAGTGTCAGTAATTTTGCTTTAGCCTTCATAATACAGTTGTTGTTATGATGGGCCAACTCCCACCTGTAGATGAGTCTTAGACCATTTGGTACTTCTGACTGGATATCTAGTCATTTGTAAAATAGAGATATGTGCTGGGTGGCGCTCCACAGTTTTATGATGGGATGCAGGATGTTGCTATGTAGAGACTTTAGGAAGCTGACCGTCCAGGACTGAATCATTCTTGCCCTTCTCCTTATGTCATATATGTACTCTCTGGCCTGCTCAGAGGACCCATCACTAAGTCATGCTCACAAGGAGAACCCAAACACATAGAGATACAGTGAGATCTTAGCCTTGGATAGACCTTTGGAATTTAGTTTTCACACATAATATTTGCTTTAATATTTCTATAACATACATTTCCATAACCCCACTTTGCACGTGCCTAAATGGAGACACCAATAGTTGAGTGATATCTCTTGGGCTAGTTATCTGTAAGGAGAAAGCAGGGATTTGAAGGGTAGGTGCTCCTCCTCCAGTCCCATGTATGCCATGTTATACCCCAAATACAATGAGAAGGGAGAAAACTGCCTCCTGTGTTAAATAGTGCCATGGAAGTCACATTGCTTAGCACCACAGCCTGTGTGTAGAGCTATCCTTCACACTTGTCCACTGAATCCTACCAGATGGCAGAGCTGATACCACAGAGGCCAAAGCTCTTTCCTCCCAAATCTCCCTCACTGAGCAGTCTAAGTGAACTCTGAGTGTTTTCATTGACTTTTCTGATCTTCCAACTCAAGTTAAAAGCATCATTTTGCTTCGCTGTCAGTCAATTTCACTTTTGTGAGAATTTTAAAGATGTATAAGCCCCTAAGGTGACAGTCCCAGCCTGATGCTGTCATGCTGAGCTGTGTCATATTGAATTCTGTCACTGAAAAGAAACAAAACGAAATGCACCCAGGTGTAAAATTCTAAGTCTTGTTCATTCGTATCGATACCAGATGAGAATGGCAGATCTGATATTATGAAATTGGTATGATGAGGACTGATATTTTTACTTTAATTGGCTGGTAGTAAAATATATCATTTATATATCCATGTATTCATATGCATGTGCAGACATGCACAAACAAATAAAGCTGTTGATTGGCCCCATCTTTTAATTTTATTATTTTATTGGCAATTAGCCTTACAGTACCCATAGTGATACTATGTTTTCTCCCTCTTTCCCTGCCTCAATCCCTCCCTCTTTTGGAATCAAATGAATTTGATTGAGTCCATCTGACTTTTTTCATCAAATTTATTAACAAGCCCATTGGTTTCAGATGAATCTTTATCCCCTTGTGGGTTTGAGTATATTTTCTTAAACCATTCTCCCAAATACTCATTATTTCACAAGACAGCAAGTTGACTAATGAGGCCTTTGGTGTTTCAACAGTGAGTCTTTGCCAGCCATGTAGGAGACATAGAACTTTTAGAACATTTACTAAACATCTCTATCCATGGCCCCCACCAAGAGGTATATGTGAGTTCCTGCAACCTCTACCTGCAGGACACAGGCTGACATGTTTTATGTATTGTTTTGAGTTTATTGTTATTCAGAAGAATGATTTATTTTCAAGAATTTAAATGGCTGTCCTATCTTAACGATTTTTCAAATATGGTTTGGTTATGTTGTAACATCATAGCACTGTTAGTCTCAAAAATATTAATGGAAATTTTATAGCTTTAAATCAGCCAATAATGATGACTTTGGCAGCACAACACTTATTAATATTAATGCCATTGCTAATGAGAGCAGTTTCCATGGGTCAAGGTTTTAAGCAGTATTTCAGACACCCCACCACCACCTTTCCATTTAGTCTTCATAATAATCTCAGAAGTTAAGCATTATTATCTTGATTTTTATTAATGAGGGAACTAAGGCTTAAGAAGACAAAGTCATTTGGCCAAGGTCATGCAGTTTGTAAGAAGCTGAGCTGAGATTTCAATCGGGCCTCTTTAGTCCAGTCTAGGTGGCATATTTCCTAATCCTATGAATGCATTTCCCTCAAGCATGTCATCGTGTTCCCATTAGAATAGACCAGGGAGGTTGAGAAAATGACTGCTGTGTGCGAGTGAGTCGAAGGTAAAGCATTCAGGACTTGGGCCCCGCGAGGAGGAACTATCACCATCGAATTAAACAATAGTAAAAGGCCCCTGGTACTGTGAACTTGGCATTACACGCGCTGGTTGCTCCCACTTTGCAGTTACTGTTTATCCAGTAATAGTAGACAAAGTTCAAGAACAGATTAAGGTCATATAAAGCCGCAAAATGTTAGCTGTCAGATCTTTTCAGCTCAGTGACAGGAGATGTGAGTTATATTCCAGGGTGGTCCTATGAGCTCGAAAAACAAAGGTGTGGAGTAGAATTGAAGCTGGCCGCCAGGCATCCGTCTTTCCTTGTGATTAGGCAAAGGGCATCATAGACAGCAACAAGCACACTGCAGCGGCAGGGGGAGGGGGAGGACAGAGGGAGGGGTGGATTCAGAGAAAGCTTTTGCTCCTGTGAAGATGCAGTTTGTAACATGACACACACACACACACACACACACACACACACACACACACACACACACACACACACACACACGCTTGCCCACTTCATTGAACGGTCTTTGCAGCAGAGGGAGAGCATGTTTTTTAAAGCAGAAAAGGCGATGTGTTTAAAGCATATGGTTCAGGCTTATCACATTTTGCTGTAAACATGGTAGTGTTCGGTAAATGCTAGGAGAATGAATGAAACTCAGGGCCTGAGACACAAGCACAGCAATGTCACTTCCTTGCTGAATCACCGTCCCAGATACCTCCTACCCTGCACATCCCTCAGGGCATTCTGGCTTCCCCCTCATAGTCATCATGTGGTCTGCTCAGGAAGCCCCTGACACTCCCTGTGTGCCAACTATGGAGCATAGAAAGAGGAATCCAGAAGGGCAGGGCCAGCCAGAGCTCACCCACTCAGGGAAAAGCAACAGCAGGACTGTATCCCCGCCCCCACCAGGCGACACCTCTGATTCACCTCATTTGCCTCTGAAACCTACAGTGAATTCTGAGCTTCTTGTGGCCTGGCTGGAAAGCACCTGCCATGATACCCAAGGTTTCTAATTGACAATGTTAGGTTGGAAAGGACAACTTTGATGCCATACAATATATTAAATTTCAGTATTGCCTTATCCTTAGCTCTTATTTTCTCCCGGAATCAAGTTTCCTCATCTATAAAATGGGTATGGAGATGAATCAATAGAAATAACATAATAACTAGGAAGAAGTTACTATGTCACCATTTGCCGTTCTACCTGGCTCTAAAGAACTTGAGTAAAAATGGACTCCATATCTTTTTTTAACTTTTATTGATTCTTTGTATATTTCACATCATGCATTCCAATCCTGCTTATCTCCCTATTCCCTTGCATCTGCCCTCTGCCCTTGTAACCTCCCTCAAAAACAAAGCCAGGTTTAAAAGAAAAATCAACAAGCAAACCAAACCAAACAACAAAAACAAACAAAAAACAGCAACAATAACAAAAAAAAAAAGGAAAAAAAGAAACAGAATCTTGTGGAAGCTGTAGTGTGGGCCCTTGAGTCACACTGTTTACCCTTTAGTCCATTCATCTTTACTTATAAGTGTTCATTGCCACCAGTCTTTGGTCTGGTTTAAGGCCTCTGCTGTCTGCCACACTGCTGATAATGGGCTCTTACTGGGACTCCTCCTGGACATCCTGTTGTTGTCCTGTGTCATAGAGATCGTGCTGTGTTGGATCTGTAGGTTCATCCCCATTACATACTCCATCCAGTTCATAGATGAGGTGGAGAACCATGGCTACGAGTTGGCTCACTCCAACATCCATCCCATCTATAAAATGATTGACTCCACATCTTAACAACATACTAATGGAATAACATGTGGCAGATAATTTTCAATGTGTTTTACCAGGAGGTGAAAAATATGCAGAGATGGAAGGGGTTTGCCTAAGGTACTGATTACTGAAAGCCAAGGTGGGGTATATCTGAGGGAAAAGTGTGAATGATCCATGGGGTCTGTAGAGGGAAATGGACTTAGGGTCGGAAGCATGTTCAGAGTCCACTGCATTCCTGGCCCTGGCACTCAGTACTGGGCTGAAGATGCTGTCCAGCTGCTGATGGTACAGCTTGGACATTCAGGGCTGGTGGATGCCCGTGGGGGCAGCACTTACTCTATGACTCTTCAGAATCAACCAATGGAAACATCCCAGCTCCCTCATCTTTGGCTGTGAACATTCTAAGGGGGCTGCTTTATGCTGCTGGCAGAGTTACCTGGCTTGTGGCTTATTAACACCTTTTTGTGGGTTCTCTTACATGCTTTTACTCCTTACTCACCCCCAGGAAGTGTTCCCTACCTCTCTCAAGCAGAGCAGTTACCCTGGATTCTTATTTCAGAGTCTGCTTTAGGGCAACTCAAGCCAAGAGTGGAAATGCTTTCCCAGCTTGCTTCCATCAAGGTTGTATGCCTGTGTCAAGGTCTCTAATCTTCACTCATGTATTTTCTTGTGACTTGGCAAATCTTTCACCAATGTGTTTGTAACTGTGTCTTTTTAAAACATAATAACTAAGCCCGTTAAGGTGTTAACTGTGTAGCCCATACCAGAGTTTAAGCTCTATTTGGAAAGAAATCAAGTATAAAAACTGCATATTAGTTTCTCAAATAAACATGAAAGTTTTTGTTTTTGTTTTTTTCTATTCTTCATTTGGGGGAAATCCAGGACCTTCTCAATATTTCCATGATGTCTGAAGCCTGCCATTTCCTCATGATAGAAACCATTATTCATCACAAGAAGCATTCTGTGCCACATTTCTTACACACAAGATGATGCTTGTTATAGCAACCCTGTCTTTATCTTACATATCAGACTCCAAACGGCTAAAGGACTACAAGGACCCTGGTCTTCATGAGTCTGAAACATGATTTAGTATTCTCACCCCTTGCCTCCAGATAAAGCTCCTTGCAGTCCTGTTCTGATTCTGGGCATTGGCCAGCAGAAAAAAATGAAAAGGATTATCAGTTTTACACTTGCCTTTCAAAGCCTCCTATAAAACAATGTTGATTTGATCAGTTAGGCTCAATAAATAGGAAGAGACAGGAGACATGCATGGTCCTTGGTCCTGACTTACATGTAAGGAAGTAGTACAGATTAAGTCCTAGATGTTGATGCCCTGTCCTCTTTCAGAGTCATCCATTACCATGTTCCATACTTTACCAATGAGGTGGTGAGCTGGGCTCTGGTGGTACTGGACTGAGGCTGGACTGTCTACTGGATGGAAATGCCATTGCATCCCCAGGCTGCAGGGGAGGGAGGGTGGCAATGAAAGGTCACCACCTGTGGCTTCATCATCCTGAGTTCCCTTCCCTAAACATCCTTTCCTATTTATCTTCCTCTCTCATTCTCCCTCCCTGCCTCTCCCTCTTCTCCCCTAAAGTCTTTCTAACAAGCTCTTAGTTACCGAAATTACAGAATAAAGCCAGCTTCCTGCTAACCCCTTTGGACTTCAATTACAGACATATTCAGATGTGTTTCGTGCCTTAGCACAGGCAGCACTAAATGGCACAGAAGCACTTCTGCAGTGCTTAATGTAAGCTTGTTGAAAAGTGAACATTATTTTTCATTGACTTTAGATTGGATAAATGCTCATTGGAAAGAATAAAGTGAATTGGTGCTGGAGAGAGCATTAAAAAGAGAGAGAGAAGAGCCAATAAAGGCATGTGGTGTCTAAATGTACATGCACTAATTTCTCTTTGCAGCAGTCATTTGGTCTGTTCTGTGTGAATGTACTTGACGATGTTGTACATATTAATGAAATTAGATTTGTTAAGCAGTGTGTTAGAAAGGCGAACCATAGCAAAAGAGCTTCCTTCTACTTTGAGATCAGATGGCATTGGATCTGCCTCTTAAGTTTGTGTGACCTTAGGCAAGGAATTTTTTTTTTGAGCCCCAGTCCTCTCAATTGTGATTCAAGAGAAATAATACACAGTCCCTGGAGTGGTTGTGAAAACTCCATGAAATGATACATGCTTGTTGCTTCTTGAGACGCTCCTGATGCACAGGAGTTGATCAAGCACTCTTAGGTACATATCTTAGTCAAAGTACTGGTAGTCTGACTTTTAGTAAAGTCATAGCCTGCATTTTAGTAAAACTATACTTCTCTTTCTTTGTAATTATGGCTCTGCAGTCTTGTGTCTACCTGTTGGAACAGTGGTAGGAAGAAATCATCCGAGCCATCCTCTGTTTGGTCTAAGCTTCAAGATGGCAGAAACTGCCTGTTCACCATTCTGAGCTGGGTGCCCGGCACACTGAGCATGCTTGGTAACTCCTGGGGCCAGGTGTATAAAAGGAAGAATGAATGCCATTAGGCTGATTTAGCCATTTATCACAAGGAAGACTTGCAGGAAACCACATTTCCTGGGGAGTTCTAACTTTCAGAGCTCTCTGGTCTGGACTTGTGTCTTGAGTACAGATGGGCTCCCACTTATACTGCTGAGGCAGAGGGAGGCAAAGGGTCCCATATCTTCAGAAAGGAGCCCCTTTGCAGCATTCCATTAATGCCTTCAGATGGGGATGGCACTAATTTCCCCCAAACAGCCTTCTATTCCAAAGGTAGGAGGCCTATAGCAGGAACTATGCTAACTCCCTTTTAGCTCCCAGTTGAAAGCTCCTTAAAAGTAGCATTGCTGTTTGTATCTTAATGAAGGTAGGAGCTGCCATGTTTAGTGTCCTAGGCTTACCTCTCTGGTCACGATGAAGGAAAAACTGAGGTCAGCTCTGTGTCCTCTGCTTCAGCATCCTTGTCCAACCAACTGAGAATGGGAAATAACTGGAATAAATAATTCCATCTGTATTGAGCATGCATCAACTATTTTATGTTGTCATTAACTTGTCATTATTCCATAAACAATGAGTATAAGCATTTATATATCATTTATATTGTATATGTGAAATACTTTCTATAGATCTAGTATATATATATATATATATATATATATATATACACACACACACATATATAATTTACATGTATCAGTACAGTTTCAATAAAGCTTTTGTTAGGTTTCCTCCAATAAATATAAGGAAACTGAGGCTCAGTAAGTTAAGAAGACATCTTAGACATCCATTAAGTGGCCAGGTCAGTAATAACCTCAGGTAAGGCCAAACCCGTGTCTTCCCCATGAAGGTTTCAGATGCCAAACCAGCCAAGAGCAGCATTGAGATGTGTTCCCATGAGACTTAGGTCTGCAGATATTCCTTAGGTCTGCCTAGGGTGACAGGTCCTGGAGTGCTCTGCTCATTCACTGCTGTTTCAGATGAACAGCCAGTTAATCATTTTTACATCTTTTTGAGTTTCCAATCTGCCTAAGGTGCACAACAAAGCCAGCCTTAATGCTCTTCTGTTTGAAGGCATGTCCTTCAGCCTAGCTTCAGCTCAGGGAAGAAATCAAGCAGCATATAGTAAGGCAGGCCTCTCTTCTTGTCCAAGACAGTGCTCCCAGAGCAGATTGGGATGCATAATGTCCCTCCAGCAGGGCCACTGAGAGGGACACTGAAAGGCAGAAGTCTAAAGCTACTGTAAGTCTCAGGTTAGGACAGAGACATGCAGCTCAATACAGAGGTGACCAAATCTTACAGTACTGTTACCAAGAAGTCACATACAACTTCATTGTTAGGTGGCAAGAGGGGTGGTTCAAGGGCCCCAGTAATCATTTTATTCTTAGTTCATTTCGCTTATATTCTGGCCTGCTTAGTCTCCTAGCAAGTTGCCTTGGCTACATGTACCATTTTATTTTTAGAGCAATGACCTGGTGGGCATCATAGCCAGTCTTATGAGCAACTGGTTCCCATTACAGCCAACCCCATGACTCCTTTTATCTTGGGCACTAGGTCCTTGAACTGAACTGTGGGGAAGTTACTATGTGCAGCTCCAGTGTTGGAGACGATGGTCATTTGTACTCTCTGTCCCACTGCTGCTCCACCATGGCTCACTGGCCAACTCAGGCCTCCGCTGAGAGTTTAGAAACCCTATCCTGGGACTCTCTACCATGCATTTGCAGAAGTTGCCTCTCCTGCATTGTGCTGGAAAACTTAATAGGCAAGAACTGTACTCATGTGATCATTCGTTACTAGACAATAGGTAAAGGCAGATTGACATGGTTGTAAAGGTGGGCTGAATTAAGAAAGGGTGAGTCTTGATTTTAGATCCCATTCTGCAAGCAACAAGACCCCTCTGAACTTAGCAAAGTCTGGACGTTGCCTGATCTAATTTGTACAATTAAAGCTAATTGGTACCAGTGTGATGACTTAATCACAGGGCTTCAGTGAGGCTGAAATGAAATAATGGATGGATGCAAAAATGCTTTTCTAAACTGTAAAGTGCTCATCCAAATGAAGGGTCCAGTTACTACACCATTTTCCCCCCTTAACCTATAGTGTAGAATTAGTATTTCAGTATGCTAACACCACCCTGCATTTCCAGTCTAGAGCCAACCCGTAATTTAATGGTTAATTACACTTTGCATTTTTTTTCTTCTTCCAGAGTGAATGCAGGTAAAGGGACCCTAGTTATAGACCTGGCCTCTCTTTGCATTTCAATGGGTTCCCCAATGGAACAGCCAAATTCCAGCTTGCTATTAAAATGGGCAGCAGACCAACAAAATCTGTGCTCATCAAAAATTCAGTAAAATAAAAAGATGTAAGAGGGCATTTTCAAAGAATTCAGTCTGACCCCCCTTGTAATTTTAATGTATGCAAACTGTATTTTTTGCACCTGCAAGCACAGTCTATAAGCCAACTCTAGCCTCCAAATTGCCAAAGCTCAAAAAAGAAAATATCTGCCTTTCAAATTCAACCCAGAAACCTAGTAATGAAACAAGGATGGGATGGAGGTCTGCCTAAAACTATTTATAGGAATATTGGAGGGGATAATTGCCATCTTGTGATTTGTTCTGAAATACTACTGCCTGGCAGAGACATGTTCAGCACATCAGAGGATGAAGGGAATCTTTAGAGATCCTGGGTTACCTGAACATCTTACAGTTGCAACTTTACTCCCTTCCTTTCCTTCTCTATCTTTTTTTAAATGGCTGAGTCTGTATAAGATGCCATGGAAGTGTAAAACTTAGGCTTCCACCTGCTCATCTTTCATCTGGACTTTGATAGCATAACCCATTTAGCACTGCCTAGGCTTCAGGCTCTGTGCTGGCCCCTGAGGATCCAGTGATGGACACAGGACAGGTCTCTATCCTCCTAGATACTTTTTAATGGGGGCCATAAGACAGCAGGATAATACTCGGTCAGATAATCAGTCGTAATTCTAAGTCTCTGGGAGAACATACTGTGTTCCTTGGGAATAGGAAATTCTTTATGGGTTGGCAATGTCTCTTTTATTCATGCTAAATCCACAATTGTGTGGACAGTCATGATAGGATTTTTTAATTATCGTACAAGATATTATATATCACTATGACATTTCCCAACAATGTAGGGTGTGGTAGATTCTTTTTACCGCTCATATCTTCCCAGCCTGTTATCCCTAATTCTTCTTTCTAAATCACCCATGCCAATGTCTTTTCCTCTTTCTTGTCCCATGAATCCTTTTCCCTGCCAGCCACTATACTGTCCCCGGGCAAATACTTAAAGGACTCCATATGCTACTGATACTGGGGAAATTGAGGTCCCCTCTTGGGGTTCTTAATCTCATTCATAAAAGAATTTAAGAACAGACTCAAGTAGAAGTCCTAGGACAATTTATTAGAATCCAAAAGAAAACCCCAGGGCAGGCAGGCTTCAGACTTCAGCAGCTGTGCCAAAGAGGAGACTGGAGGAGAGGATGAAAGAAGCTATTCTATTTGAGCTGACAACATGGAAGTCTTCCCTGTGGCAGCAAGCAGACATGGTGTGTGTGTGTGTGTGTGTGTGTGTGTGTGTGTGTGTGTGTGTGTGTGTGACAGACAGACAGACAGACAGACAGAGTGCTTTAGATAACAAGTAAGAAAGCCCAAAATATCAACAAAGTTGTACTTTGGGGCAGCATCCAAAAGACAGAGACAAAAAAAGAAAAAGGGAAAGTTTAGTCTTAGAAGAGTAGACAGACCCATCAAACCTCATGGCAATCCCATAGGGGCTTACAGGGACAGAGCTAGGGGGCAGGAATTCTGGGAAGGAACAGTACAGTATCTCATTAAAGGATTAATTATTCTGTCTATGTCTTTAGCATGGCTTAAGGTGAATCCACCTTTCTAGAGGTGGTCCCTTGGCCAGGCATTTGACCCAGTATAGCTGGAATGTTAGGTCTTTACCCAGGCCAGAGATTCTGTTCTCTTGGCTAGGAGTTCCTGTTAATTGGCTCTTATTGGTGTTCCAGTACTTCCATTGAGATCCTTACGCATCCATGTATGTTTCTGTGCTATTATTTCTTGCAAACCTCCTAGTAAGCTTTGGCTACTTTCCTCTTGACAGACAAGGAAGCTTGGGGAGCTATGAATGATTGACTCCAGGTCACAGAGGTGGTCACAGGCTACAATTGGCCACCGACTTCTGACTCCTACTCCACCCCCCTTTCTCTTGCCACTGCTGTATCTTCAGCAGCAGCACTTTTATCCCCTGGATGTCTACAGTTGCCCTGCCAGTGACCCATGACTTCTCAATCGTCATGGCTGTTCCCCTGCCAGGACACTTAGAAATGACCCGTGTCTACATAGCCTACAGTCTTTCCTCGGTTGCCATGACCACGCTTGCATTTCCCCCAGAGTGACATACTTCTCGGGAAGTGTGTGTCTCCGTAAGTGGCTGCTAAGCCTTCAGGAAGGAAGCCAGCTGTTGCTTCCCATTTAGTTCTTTAAATACAGGTGACAACACACTGTTTGCCTCCAGATGTTCGCTCACTCCTCTGACAGCCCCACTATGGCCTATGTCTCTGCCAGAGACACTGTTTTCTCCCTGTTCTTTCCTGAAGTCCCTGTGTGGGTGTTGTAAGGTATACATACAATCACTAACCTTTTCAAAATGTTTGTAATCTGAATTTTATTTTAATAAATAACATTATGTTCTGCACGATGGTCCCATTTTATTTAGGGGAGGTCTTCTCAACAAGGTGACTCAGACACTACTGTCCTGCTGACCATTGGCAGTGCAGATGTATAGTCACATGTCATGGTCGTATAACCAACCAGGGCCAAGTATAGATGTAACCAACCGTCTTATTAAATAAGAAACACAGAACCAATGCAAAGAAGAAAGCCAAGAGGTCAGAGCTAAGAGCTAAAACCTTACCCTTCCTCCTGTGGTGGTCCTACCTCTCCAAACCAGAGCTACTTCCTGTGTGTCTGTCTTTTTATAGTGTTTCTGTTCTGCCTTCTCATTGGTTGTAAACCCAACCACATGATCGCCTCATCACTGCCTGTCTGTATAGACCTCCAAGTTTTCTATGATTGATATTGAGATTCAAGGCATGTGTATCCAATGCTGGCTGTATCCCTGAACACACAGAGACTTACCTAGCTCTGCCTACCAAATGCTGGGATTACAAGTGTACACCACCACTGCCCTGCTTTCCTATGGCTTGCTAATAGCTCTGACCCCCGGGGCAACTTTATTTATTAACATACAAATAACATTTGAATACAAATAAAATATCACCATAGGCCAGTCTCTCCCATCTCCACCCAGTTTCCTCACATGGAGAATTCTAGCCTCTCTTCTGTGCAGTTTCCAAAGATGTTTTCATTCAAGCAGGAATGTGCTTAAGGCTACATTACCCTGGTGGTGACCTCAGTGCATTCAACCCACTGCAGGCAGCTGATCTTAGCTGGCAGAGCCTTGGTACCCCCGCCCCCACCACAGCAGCTGCGCGACCCAGTGCCCCATATAGAACTCTCCATTCCCCTTTTATCAGCTCCATCCTCCTGTATCCCTCCCTCCTCTAACACCCAGACCTTCTCTCCTTCAAATTCTAGCTCATGTACTCTTTCCTCTGGAAACCCCTATTCATTCCCTGCCAGGAAGAATTGATTGCTAGGAGGGGGTGGGGTGGGAAGGACACCTGTTGAGCAGGGTATAGTTGGTGATATTCCATACAGAGGGCACACCCAAAATAGAGAAGGGAGGAACGAGGATAGCCACTGAGGCATTGAAAGAAGGCTGGTGCCAGTGTTCTGGAGTTTTTTGGGAGTGGACAGAGGTGGGTACAGTCTTAGGTAAGGCACAAGAGGTAGAGAGCATTGAGGATTCTGTTTTTATCCTAAGTGTTGTGGGCAGTTTTTGAGGGACTTTCTTACAGAACGCGGAGTTCTCTTACTTGGGACCATGCCTGCCTTGCGGCTGGACTGAAAATGCCCTGAGAGCAGCACTGTCCTTTTCTCACATCTCCATGCCCTGCTCTCACATGGGGTGCGGGTTTCCTAAGTCCACAGGGCGCAAATACAGGAAAGAAGGGCTCTCAGTTCGACGGCTGATTTAGTTTTCACACCCCAGCCTGCTGGAAGTGGCTTATTCTCCTTCTCATTTCTCCCAGCTCATATTTTAATGTCCTTCCACCTTATTGGTGTAGGTTTGGCAGATGGAGTTTATGGGAGAAGCAAAATTTCATTTATTATAGTTTATGTTTATCATATGTATATATTCTCATTATTTTATGTGCAAAGAGTGTTTCTCAGGCGGTGCTCTTTAGGGAGATAATATGCAAAGAGATCTTCTATTTCATTTTTACTAACACCACTGCAGTTTGCTAAATCATCACCATCAAACCATACTTTAATTTAATCTACTTTATTGCTTTCCAAAGCATTTCCTACGAGTAACATTACATTCCCCAAGTTTTAAAAAATAACTCGCTCTAAAATGTACAAGTGAAATTAAACAAATGTTTTGTCCTTTTCTGTGCCTGTCTTTCCCATGTGAATAAGGGGATGCATGAACACCAGGAGGGAAGAGGAAGGCTTTCCAAAGGGCCAGAAACTGTGCATTCTTCCAAGTAGACCTTGGACTTGGACGTAGTTGACTTAGTACTAGAATGCAGCCCTGTGACTGATTGACTGCAAGATATTGGGCAAGCGCTGTCATATTTTTAAGCCTCCATCGCTTTGTGTACAAGATAAGGGTTACTGTGTTAGTTCTTGTTGTGGTTTCCCTGTCTTTTTTTTTTTTTTTTTTCAAAAGAAAATCACTAACGTACTTAGCATTGTTCTTGCCCATAGCAGGTGCTGAGGGAACAGCTACTATTGTTAATAGGTAAAATGCTATATCTTACCCTGAACCTTCCATCAGTTTATGGGGGCTTTTGTGCATCCATACCCTCAGTTCTAAAGTGAGAACAAGGCAGGCAGTCTAATAGGTTTGTTGGGTGGAAGAAATGAACCAGTACCCCTGAAGTGATTAGGAAATAGCTGGCCTTCAGTAGACATTAGCTTCTCTTGTTCTCTTATCAGTTCTTATCATGTATGCTTGCCCTCTGCTCTCAGACATAAAATAAAATGAATTTCCAGACCACATAAAGGGTAAAGTTTGAATTGCACAAGCAGTAAGGACTGTAGCAGACTTTATTGATTCTTCTCTTAATGGGAGGTGCCTGTGAATCAGAAGTATTTTCAATGTCTAGTTTATATGAACAATTGCCTTTGTCACGGTGACTATAATGATCTGAACTCTTCCTTGCCTATAGCTTGGTTGACCCCATTGCAAAATATCCAGCAACTCAAGTGATGAAAATTACCTTAATTAAACAGAACTGTCTAGAGTCTGTGTTGAATCAAGACCAAGAATTCTGAAAGCCTATTCATCATTGAAAACATCTCCTCATTATCCTGCCCAGGACTTTATCAAATGACCCAGTAACCTTTAGGAAGCTCTAACTCACCCTGTGTCCCTGCCTGGTTATCTCTTGTTCCATGAGGCACTAGGAACGAAGAGATGTGGCAGAAAAGTGAGCTCCCAACTTCATCTCCAGCTCTGGGGGCTGTGCTGAGGTAAATTCAGTCCTTCCACAGGAGGAACATACATTGGCTAGAAATGCCTTCTACAGATAGCTTCATAAGCTAGATGTAGCTCAGTGGTATAGCCACTTCCCTAGCACTTGGGAGACTCTGAGTATAATCCTTAATACCACAAAACACCAAAGAAAGTCAACCCCACCTTCAGTCAGCAGCTCTGCCAGGAAGTAACTGATATAGATTGCATTTATATACAGCACACATTTGATGGATTTGGCTTTACCTATACATCTGTTACTACCACCAATGTGGCAAGGCATTTTCATCTTCACAGCTAACCTGTCTTCTGCCACTGTTCATTCATTTCATTTTGTAGATCTGTATATCTGGAAATTTGTACATCACGTACTAGCTCATTTGATGTAATGATCTCTTTGAAGGGAAATCTGAAGCCACACTGCCCATCGTGAGGTTGTCTCCTTAGGCTATTCCTAGCAATAGCCACGAGTTACTGAGTCTGTGTGTGACTCATAGAGAGTCTATGCTGAAATTCTCACAGCCTTTTATTGCCACTCAACAGCCAAAGAATAGGGTAGTCCAACGTTACTCAGTGAGGACACATTCAAGTACAGGTCTGTCTGACTTCAGGCTTATATTATTTCCACCTCCATGGTTGCTGGAAACAGTGCTCATCTGGAAAGAGGCTGGCACAGATTCTAGAGAAAATTAGGCTAAGTCCATGACTGCAACACCTTCAGCACTAATAGGCAAGATATGTAATACTTACACCTTAGTCCTCTCACTCCAAACAGTGTGGACGCAATAGTGTGTGGCCAACACCTTTAGATATACACTTAAGAGAAGCCATTTGCTTGCCAGTCTTACCTGCTCTGTAAAGTGTCTTCATTATTGATAATGTACTGTGGTTCCTCAATAAAGAAGCTTAGGAAGGGCAAAAGTGGGCCTGTTTAGTATTAACCAGGCACCCCATGTTAATATTAACAGATGAAATCTGTTGAGGAAAATGAGAATGGGAAAAAGAGTAGAGAGTCACGTTGAACTTCGTCTTCCTGTCTTGACCCAGCAGATCTTCCTATGACTGCAACTAGACACAATCAATATATGATGAGTACATTATCCATGGCTGAAATGTTTTTGTGTGCTGTGTACACGGTAGAACCAGCATGATTCAGTTAGGGGCACCAAGATTAGGCAGGAACATATTATGTCCTTGCATCCCATTGTGGGCAGGACTCATAAATTCATTATCTTAAAACCTTAAATTCAAATGATGCTACATTTCCGCTAGTCCTAATCTTCACGGGCAAGTGTGTGAGAACCAGCCTTGTCCTGCCATCTGTCTGTAGGCAGCCCCTGGTGCTATGTTGGCTAAATCTTCATATCAAGCTGCTAAGGGCAACACTGGGTGGGGTGCCATTCAAATTTCCTATCACCAGTGGGACATGTTCTCCCACAGCGTTTCCCAGGGAACCGGAAAGCTCTCCACAGCTACTGTGAGCACTGAGGTGGCATGCCAGGTGGTGTGAGAATTTGAACCTGTGCTGAGGTGTGAAGTACCAAGGAGAGAGGAAAGAACTCTATGCACATGAATGTCAGTGGGTCTCTATCTTAGCAAAGCTCCAGAGTGGCAAAGGAGACTTTCCAGCGTTGCACAGTGCTGTGGGATGAGCCATGCTTGGAACAGGCAGTGGAGAGGTACCTGCTCTTCCCACTTTCAGAACCCGTTAAAGCTTTTGCTCTGAGCACTGCTGTGGAGACCTCGACAAGCATGTCTAGAGTAATAACTCAGCATTCACTGAGTGCTGGCCATGCACTACAGGTTATAGAAGCACTTTTGGTGAAGCAATGTAACTTCACATCAGCCCATGGACAAGAATTGCCATGGTGGTATTCCCGTTTACAGATGGGGACACAGGCATAGATAAGAGGTGTGACCAAGGTCACATCAGAACACTGGAGCCAGATTGGCCCAGGCAACCACACTCATCTGTTTCTTATTTGTGAAAGTTGTTGCTTATATTAACAATAAAAAGAGGAAATTTGGAAGTCTTTCTAAACACTATCTAGAAAAGGAGACCTAGAATTTTAAAATATTACATATCAATGTAGATGAATCTTTAGGACATCATGTTAAGTTAAATAAGCCAGGCAATAAAATACATGTACCATGTGATATTACTGCCATGTGGAGTGGCTATTGAAGAAGAGGTTAGAATGTGATTAGGGGCTTGGATGGGGAAAGATTTAAGGATGCACAAGTTCAGTTCCTGAGAAAGGTGACCTTAAAAAGCTCCACTATGCCGCATCAATATTTACCTCTAGTAAATAATGGACTGCACACTTGAAACCACCAGGAGAGCAGAGTTCCATGGTTCTAATGTAACAGTGTTAGAATGTATGTTTCATGTAGCAATACCATAGTGGATGCATATTTCAAAGCATAACATTTTATGCCGTAAATGTGTGCAATTTGTTAATTTAAAACAAATTTAAATGGAAAGTTCTGTGAAGTTAGACAGTGGTAATGGTTGCACAACCCTAGAAGCATACACTTTAAAGGAGGGCATTTTATGATATATGAATTAAACCTCAACTTAAAGGACAGAGATAATAATGGAATCCTGTTTCCCTTGATAAATAAGACATGTAGATTGTAGGTAGAGTCTCTTCAGTACAGGTGGAGCACATGGAGCATGGGGACAGCAGTGCTATAATGAAAAAGTGCCAAAGCAGATTGAGGATACCATTGCTGCTGCTGCTGCTGCTACTGTTGATGATGGTAGTAGTGGTGGTGGTGGTGGTAATTATGATGGTGATGCGTACAGTATCTTTGTCAGTCTCTCTGTGCTCCTACCATGTGCCAGGCATAGTGTTCAACAACTTCCCTACGTTAAACTCATTTCATTTCACAAATGAATAGCCCAAGGTGCAGGGAGGCTAATTCACTCCTCTACAGGCACATAGCTAGTACACAGGGAGAAGATCTGGGAACTGAAATGACATATAGTCCAGTGTAGCTAGAAGTTTTCCTGGTCTCGCATGGCACCAGGGTCCCACAGCCATTTATAAAATTCCCATGTCCTGCCTGGTCCTGCAACCACTCAGACCCAAATAAACTCACAGAGGCTTATATCAATTACAAATTGCATGGCCATGACCTATGGCTCAAGCTTCTTGTTAGCTAATTCTTATATCTTAAATTAATCCATTTCTATTAATCTGTAAGTTGCCATGTAGCATGGCTTACCGATCTGCTGGCATGCTGTTCCTTCAGTGGTGGCTGTTATTTCATAGCGCTGAGTTCTCCTTCCTCTATCTCTAATTAGAACGTTCCTCCTAACCTTATTCTGCCTCACCATTGGCCAAACAGATTTATTTATCAACCAATCAGAGCAACACATATTCACAGCATACAGAACATCACCCATCAGTCCAGTACACATATTTTAACACGGCACTTTATGCCCCTGTGGTGTGCTGTGCTAAGATCTGCTTATGCCTTAACTCAAAAAACATTGATTACATTTATCATGCCAGTACCTTCCATGCCAAGTATGCACAGGCCAACTAGCTTTTGACTTTCACAGCAATCCTGGAAGGTAACAAAGGATTAGCATTATCACCCACACATTACAGAATGAAAGTGGGGGGCAAGGTTCTCATCAGAGTGGGTCACTGCCTTACAAGGACCAGATTTCCTGTCTCCCTGTTTTACACTAGTGATTCCATCATTGTGGTATCTGCCTTTTCCTTGTGTCTAGCATTTTGCCCAATTGGAATGTGAACTTTCTATCCTGAGGCACCATCATCGTGTGTCTGTAGCACAGAACTTTGAGTGGAGCCCTTGAGGCACAAGTCAGAAGATAATGTTTAGCTTTCTGTGCTCTAGTGGGGTTAAGTTGGTACAATCCCATGGAAATGGCTCAGTTTAATGGTAAAGTGACTAAATTTCAGCTAAACTGAGGGACTGGCCTGTAGATCTGAAGCCTCCAGTTTAGCTCAGAAATGCTTTGTAGAAAAACAACTGTATATCTGATATCTCCCAACTTGTTCTGTAGATAGTGAAATCATGGAAGATGACATCGTTTTTTGTTTTTTTTTGTCTTGTTTTGTTTTTTTGGTTTTTCAAGACAGGGTGACATCGGTTTTTTTCATTTCCCAGTTGTTATTGGTCCAACTGTGAATTCATGTGGTCTGTCTCTCAATTTCCATTTAGATCTGTCTCTCCATCTCCAAGGGTGGGTTGGAGGAGTTTGTGTTCCTCTGTATGTGTCATCTTAGATGCATCAGGCAGTAGAGATGCAGAGGTGCAGGTTGAGTTGTTGCATGCTCAGTAGAGATGCAGAGGTGCACGTTGAGCTGTTGCATGCTCAGTAGAGATGCAGAGGTGCACGTTGAGCTGTTGCATGCTCAGT